TACATACCATGCCATTTATTACAAAGAATTTGTTTGCATGACCATATGGGATACATAGGGAGTTTTCAATCACACTTTGGAGTGGCTTCAGACCTACATTAATTCCAAGAAAGAGACTGACTGGCTGTGGTAGAGATATGGAGTGGCAGTCCAGAGGTCTCAGGTTCAATTCCCATCACAGCCAAAGTCCCTGGATGTAGAATATAGTAGAAAAAAGAACTACTAATATTAACCTGATTACATGTAGCTGTGATAGAGATCTGGAATGGCAGTCCAGAGGTCTCGGGTTCAATTCCCATCACAGCCAAAGTCCCTGGATGTAGAATATAGTAGAAAAAGGAACTACTAATATTAACCTGATTACATGTAGCTGTGATAGAGATCTGGAATGGCAGTCCAGAGGTCTCAGGTTCAATTCCCATCACAGCCAAAGTCCCTGGATGTAGAATATAGTAGAAAAAGGAACTACTAATATTAACCTGATTACATGTAGCTGTGATAGAGATCTGGAATGGCAGTCCAGAGGTCTCGGGTTCAATTCCCAATACAGTCAGACTCCCTGGAAGTAGAACATAATACAAAAAGAAAATAGTAATATAAACCTGAATAGCTGCAGGTAGAGATCTGGAATGGCAGTCCAGAGGTCTCAGATTCAATTCCCACTACAGTAAACTCCCTGGATGTAGAATATGATAGAAAAGGAAAGTAATAATGTAAACCTGATTAGCTGTGGTGGAGATCTGGAATGGCAGAGGTCTCGGGTTCAATTCCCACTACAATCAAACTCCCTGGATGTAGAATATAATAGAAAAAGAAAGTAATAATATAAACCTGAATAGCTGATGTAGAGCAAGGGCGGAGGGGGGGGGGGGGGTGGTATGGGCCAATGGGGGCCATGGCCCCCCCATGTCCCCAATTTTTTTTTTTAAGTGACGTCGCAATAAAGGCAGGCACTGTGTACACCACCATCTTTTCCCGTGGTCAGAAATTGCCTCAGTGGTCAGAAATTGCCTCAGATCACACCACAGAGCATCTAGAATCCAAAATTTAATTCCCCCGAACCCCACGCCGTTATTTTTGGACCCACTTTTGGGGGACAAAATATGTTTTGCCCCCCCCCCCCCCCAAAAAATTGTGTTCTGGATCCGTCCTTGAGGTAGAGATCTGGAATGGCAGTCCAGAGGTCGAGTTCCCACTGCAGTCAAACTGCCCTTTGCTGATATATTTGTAGATGTACATTTAAGGGCTCACACAGTAACACTGTCTCATATCACACAGGGTAGGTTTTGGAGAAGTTGTTTGCATGCCCATTGAGGTTTGAAGATCCTATTCTACCAGTATTCCAAGCCTCCCACAGGATTTTGCTGCCAAATGTTAAATTCATAGCTCCTGGAGCTTCATGTCCATGTATGACACAAAATAGGTTAATGGAAAACGGGTATTCAAAGCCAGTCTCCCCCATCCATCCTAAAATAAGAAGAATCCTAATCTTCAATACGGCTAATCACACATTGTGCCCCGAATATGCAACACCTTCAATTTGGTGTAAGGACAGATAGAAATGGCAGCAGAGTGAATGAAAGCCTGTGGCATTCTTCAGACAGAAACACATGGCGGTGTATTAATTCTTCCTCACGCAGGATCGGAAACATGAATACAAATTAACGTTTGCTAAAAGGTGGGATTATATAAAAGGAATTACAAGCAAGTGTCATCATGATGCAAGAGCAGGCTCCAGAACTTCATGAAACGTTCATGATTTTTCGTTTTGCTCGGAGTGAGATAGTAAAGGGAGAAATGAAAACCCATCTTTTTTTTTCTTTCTTCGTCTTGCTTTAAATGACGGAAGGAGCTGAGCCAACAGGATGTTTGCATGGTCTTAATCAATAGGTGTTTATGCCTTGTAGGCTCGTCCGGCAATTAAATTGCGCTTCAGTCAACAGTGCTGGGTTGGCGCGCCATTCACTGCATAAGTACATGTAATTGCCTTATGATGAAATTGCAGGCTTTTACTGTGCTGAATCCAGCAAGATCCTATGGCAAAGGTTTCCGTAAGAATTTACACGTGTATTGACCTGAACAGTGAAAAAATCATCTTTTGTTAATGTTTGAAATGTTGGATTATGTAGGATTCTGCGTGCTTCACGTTTTCATTAGCTGTTGGACATCACTTGGTTCATCAGAGCCCTTACGAAATTGTGGGACTGGAGTTAGGGTTAACATCAGAAGAATACAGGAAAGATGTATGTACATGTATGTGACCTGTCATCACCACGAAATGAACCTAAAGTTTCAAAGGGTCATTCTTCATAATACAATTCGCTGGCTAAAGCCCAACACTGTGATTTTTTTTTTAAAAGAAAACAGCAACAGAGGAATTGAATTATTTGAGATATCGTGATTTGATTATGGGTCTTGATTTTTGTTAATATGTCTGTTTGACTGCAAATCTCTTTAATTTAGGATTTTTTTTGGCCAATTCTTAAGTTTTCATCATAATTTTGTTTAAGATATTCCATCATTAAAAAAAAGTGGCATTCACTTTTTGGGCGGGAAATGCTTGATGTTCGATACCTGATTACTGATGTTCTCATTGCTGCGTAGTTGGAATTTAAGCAGCGTTGTAGTCGAGACGAAGCAGTGTGAAATCGTAGCTTTTGAGATCCCCGGTACTCGATCGGCTGTGAGTAATGCCCACCGGCAGATCGATGCAGCTCATGCATGCTTGACATTTGATGACTTAAAGCCACTTCGTCAAATGCCTGTCTCTGATGTTAGATTTGACACCTAATCATCACATGACATTTTAGCAACCAATCATTGTTTGCCTACCAAACAGGTAGCCATGGCAACCCTTCATTATCAAAGTTAAAGCCCTCTTGATTGGTCAACGAAGCATGAATGACAAAGCACTAACCAGCAAGAATCAACAAATCCAAATCTTGCATCAGGACGAAGCAAAGCACCTTAAAAGTTCACTTATAGCTTGAGAATCGAAGGCATAGAGCGGCTTTCAAAAGTGCACATTACTCGAGAGAAGAAGGAATAATAATAATAAAAAGAAGGGAGGCAAAAGTGCAGTGATCATGGTTTACTTCATTTGCAGTAAGCCACTTGGAGAAAGATTGGGACTGAAGTCTGGACTAGATCTCTTATTGATCCTGGGACTAAGAGACCTTCATATCCGGCGGGAGAATTTGGGCCGTGTTGGCTAACAGGTCCAAATGCCGGTTTATGTTTTTTTCCCCTTTAGACTAATCATTTGTCGCAGGGTTTGGCCCAGATTTTTCTGACAGATCGCTACGCAGTTGTGAGCATCTGTGTGAGGGGAGCAGGCGTTGTGGTTTCAATGTGGGTCAGGTTATCAAATTTGATCAAGGAGCATTCAATTTATGATAATAATCAGTCAAGGGTTTTATATTCAGGAATATTATTAAAGGTTTCCCGTGGATGAAGTTTTGAAAGATTAAACCTAGCTTGACTTTTGATGAAATGTTTGGTGTTGGGGAGATGTTAATATTTATATTTGGTTTTATTATATAATTTTATAGGCAGATAAACTTTTATCTTTCTGAGCACTGACACGTGAGGAACACAAAATGATATATTTTTTGTGTTACTTTCAGCTTGAAAATAACACTTCAACGCCAGCAAACCCTTGTAACTAAACTTTGATGATTGCCAAGCTTACAACCAGTCAGTAGTAGCTATTAAATTTCTTGACAGAAGTGTAAAACCAAATTTATAATCCAGTATTGTTTCTTTCCACTTTTATGGATTTAAATCCCACTGTATTTTTCCTTCAACATTACGGCTCTAGAGTGTTTTTGTAAAGGGAATCCTGTGAACTATACCCAATCATTGGGAGGGCATTGCAATTTGCATGCGGCACCTCACTTGTCACTTTTTGTTGGCATGACTGTGAACTGACGAGGAGCTGCCAGTGAAATCAGATAATCGTTATTCGGTTTGAAATCAATTAGGATAACTGGATTTTGAAATCTCAGATTTCTCCCATCACTAATTATAAACTAGATTAATAGCTATCCGCAATAATTAACATTGAGCCGATTGAATCTGCTTGTCATCAATGCTTGGCACTATGGGCTGTGCTATACGGCAGGCAGTTTGCGAAGAGTTGAGATTCATGTCTCCTGCAAATAAATTGCAATGGCTTTGAATCTTGACATCCTTTTTGGAAAAGGCACGGAACAGAGAAAGTTTGCGCACTCTCTCATGATCACTTTTCTTTTTGGGGGAATTCTGTGCTCCTAGATGCCTTCATATTTTTCCTTTCAAGGTGGAAACTCATGAAGAGCAAAGTCAGCACGTTTCTGTCTTTCAAGAGTTTCCTGCGGGCATTGACTGCTACGAGATTACCCCGCACGAGATCTCCTCAAATAAATAGTTCAGAACATTTGCAAGAAAGGTACTCCAACCCACCAATGTGCACTTCAGACACATTAACAAAATCCCTGGAAGTTAAAGCTGTAGCACCCCTCGGTAGGCCACTCTGGAAAAGGTAGAAAAACATTCTCGGGATTCAAGTCTAAAACAAGAAGTGGAGTGCTTCAGGCACCGTATAATAATAGTAGTTTTTTTTTTAAGTAGTCATTGGGGGTGAACTCTAAAGAACGGAAGAAAGAGAGGAAGACATGAGAATGCGTTCTGGGCAAAACTCTCTGAATATTCAGGAAGAAGATGTTGAAGTTATAGCGGGTCAGTTTGCATGGTTTGTGTTACGCCGGAAGGTGAATTGACTTGCTGTGTATATTTGATTGCGCGCTGCTTCAAATGGTCAGTAGCTCTGGTGTCGGGTTTGTGTGGTGTGTCATGGAGGGGGATCGTAGTTGTTTCTTTTCTCTCACCGTTTATCGATTCAAGACTTGGAATATACTACATGGATGTAGTTTCTTGCTGTGATAGCTCGGCCTGTGTTGAAGTTTTGGAATTGAGAAAAGAAGAAGTAACTTTGGGAATGAGTTTGAATAACGGTCGCGATGGCAGCAGCAATGGATTACCAGCATCGTGTTAGCGTGAAGAGTGTGACCATGTGCAGGAATGTGGACGGCGTCACAGAGAATATTGTAAGCCGTTGTGCTGTCGGCCTGTTGTTCATTCATTACAGTGTCGGGTTTTACACTTGTACAAGTCGTTCAGTGCAACAGTTTCCTACTGTATGTTGTGCATACATGTACTCCACATGATGCGAGTGTACATGTACAACTAAGTTGACTAACAACGCATTTGTAGTGGAAATTTGCCAGAGTGTGTTTAAAAAGCTGATGCAAACTCACAGTGTGAATACTGACCTTGATGCCACAAATTTCAAATGTTGACAGATTTCTGTGTATCACGTGCATGAGTAGAAATATATATTGTAATCTTTCCTGACGGCTTTTATTTCGATTTCTGACATGGATCTTTTTATATGAAATGACCTTGATCCCATGCATTACTTTGAAGAAACATCTGAACTATTAAACAGTCATTGAAATCATCATGCTCTTTCACTTGTATGTTTTCAGTTGCCAGATTCAAATAATGATACAAAGAGTTCTGAACATTTGTTTCTTATAAACTTTGACTTGCTACCATCCATTGGTAGTTGAGTCCATTACAATTCCATCTAAAGCCCTCCAGTCTCAAGTCAAGTCACGCGCTATTCAAACTGCGACAGAAGCGTTCCTTTTTATTGTTCTTTCCTGTTACTTGACTGGACTTTTGATTTACTTTTGACCAGACTTGTGATGGATATACTACAACACTGCTACCATCAATCTAGTATTTCCTTCTGCTTTTACCTATGAACTAAAAAGCACTCAGAGAGCGCAAACCACAGAAGAACTCGCATATCCTCTGGACTTCCATACTTTAGTGCACAACAGCATTGCTCAATGCTCATATTCTGACTTTATCGAAAAATAGCAATGTTAGTCACTTTCCGCTAATCCGTCCTGGTATGTTGTTTAAACCGTAATACGGCATGTTATGCGGCCTCTTTGCCGTGCAGCTGCTACCGGACAAAGGCCGCTGTGCAGTCATGCGTGTAAGCCCCCATATCCCAAACCCAGATCCGGATCACTTCCAAAATCTACTTGTACTTGTACCAAGGACCACCCCAACAAAATTTCAAGAATATCCATCCATAACTTTTTGAGTTATCTTGTACAAGCCAACCAACCAACAAACTAATCAAATCCGATGAAAACATAACCTCCTTGGCGGAGGTAATAACCATCCCACAAATTCATGAAAGAAACCAAAAACAAGCATTGTTTTTATCACTCCTTCGATCGATCCCATAAATTGTTTTGCCTTGACCTGCAGTAAATTCTCCTGCTCTTCAAAGTCACTTGGCAACAAAGACAACACTGACCCTGGTAATTGGTAGGAACTCAATAAATCAGTGCATCTTCACAGCCAGCGCAACGCGCCATTGCGAAACTTGTGAGTTGCCGGGCACAGGTGTTACCACATCTGACCGTTACCAACTACTGGTTGCCGGGACTACTGGGACCAGTGTTTTGTCAGTTTTGTGTGTAGTGGCAGACAAATTGATTTGCATCTGATGCTTTTCATCTTCAAAACAGGAAAAGTTTTAATAAACACTTATCATTATTCTTCTGGGTTTGATGTTTTTCCCTCTGTGTTTGGTGTAAATTATTTGTGACATGCATGCTATTATTAAATGCTTGTCTTACTGCAGTTTCGCAGAATTTGCCCTTTTGCCATATTTGTGGTTTTTGTTTCATAAATATATTTCATGGCTACACCTTTTTTTCTAAGTACATGCAAATCAACCTCTTCAAGTTCTCCTTATAGCCCAATGAATAAGTGAATGTCTATATTTTAGATGTGTTTCATACTCAGAGAAAAGGATAACAACTAATTGAGCTTTAAACTGAAATTTAGTTGATATAGTCAAGAAATTCTTCAACAGCCAATTTTCTAGAGATATATTCATGTGTGTGATGATTATATGTTTATCCACTTTAGGTCTTTCTCATTGTCTTGCCTCCTTATATCTGCATTTTTCCCCCATGGATAAGTCAAAGTCAAGATTTTGGAAACCATGGCAACTAATTCCTCCTTGCCAACCACTTCCAAGGTCGGCAAGATTAATCTAAAAGGATCGTGTGTTGTGTACTGAGAGAGAAGAGGGAGAAAAAAATTCAGTAGCATCATTGCTGTTTATCTTACCCTTCTGAAAACACTGGTAAAAATCAAATCCTTATTAGCTGTCCGGGCTCGGCTCGGCGGCGTTTGCGTGCCGGAGTGTTCAGAACGACACTCACGTCCCCGTGCGTGTTTTCACAGGCCCTAATGGAAGTCGACCTACGTGACATATTTACATTGCGTCCTCGCCTTTCCTTTTCCTGAGCTGCAGTCGTTGGCTACAGAAGCAGAAATGCTCCTGGAACTTTCTGGGAGAAAGAAACAAATCCCAAAGATGATTTTGTTCCACAACTTACACATGTGCAGATTGTAGAAAAGATGAAAAACTAGCCGGAGAAAGCAAATGCCAATCAAAGAAAACATAATTGTAATCCATTCATTTCATTCATAAAAAGGTCTTTTAGATCTTGACAAAACAGCTGGAACAAACAATCCCACCATATTTTTCATGGAAAAGGAAGTTGTTAATGAACAATGTAAAGTAATCTTGTTCTTAATAACCTTAACTTCCCACTGAGTTTTACTAAATCAAGTACCAAGTCCATCAAAATCCATCACTGACTCTGCTTCACATACTGCTTCAGGACCAAATCCATTGAAATCCACCACAAATGCACCACTGCTAAAGGTGGATTTTAATGGATTTGGTACGTATGGCTTGTCTGCCAAAATCCCTCTAAATGGAGGGATTGATTTTGATGGAGTTGGGAAGGTTAGGGTTACTAATGAACATGTGAATTGTAATGTTTGCGAGTTGAATTTGAAATCTTACTTTTCAGGAATATTTCTACCCAATTCCTTTGATATGTTTGTGTAGACTCTATACCCATGTCATTTTTTCAATGCTCTTGTTTTTGCTTCAGTTAATTAATTTTTTGGGGGTAGAGTTGTAGTTGTCCACTGGCTCTTCTCATTTGTAAAATGTTTTATTGTAATTCTCCTCTTGTTTTTTTTTATTGGTGCATCCATGTATTCATCAAACATTGAACAGTCACTAAAAGTTCGCCGAGTACTCTGAATCACATGTACTTGAGTACAATTTTCTGTAGTCATACTCATAGACATGCAGAAGTTCTTGACTACAACACTGCTTTAGCCTTTTTTAAGGTCATGTGTAATTTCACGAAAATAAATGAAAAAGCAGTGCTACCTGTGGAATATATCAATTGAATACATGAACATGAATGCTAGTGAGAGACAAAAAATTAGAACACAATTCAGAACAGCAACAGCCTGTAACACCATACAGGATCTCACCTTCATTTTGAACTCTCTGTCTTGTTTACTTTTCGTTTTTTATTCCCGCAAAGGAGGTTAAGTTTTCACTGGCATTGGTTTGTCTGTTAACTTCTACTTCTACTTCTACTTAGCTACTCGTTTACAGCCTTTTCAGCAACTTAACGAGGACTGTGGTGTGCTGTCTCAAATGGTGGACACTTGTGCAGGGTACTCTGATACACAAAGTTGGTTGACAGGATAACTCAAAAAGTTGTAGACGGATTTTCATGAAACTCTTTTTAGGGTTGGAAAATATGGGAAAACTTTCACCCTGTGTGACCAGCTTCCTGTGCGTGGCACTGACCCGGTGACCTTGTATGCCTTATCGCCCACCTAATCTAACCACACAGGTCAATGGACTAGACCATTTTATACAACGGGGAGTGGAAAGGTAGACCAACACAGGCATATACATGTAAACTACAAAATGTTTGAGTTTAAGGATTTGTTTTAGAAACCACATTGCATTGGTGCTGTGTGTAATGGCGGGAAATTGTTAAGGGTGTGCACTCTCTGAGTACTTTCTAGTTTTTAATTTTTAATCAGATTTGATATCCCATATCCCTGCTCACTTGCTACTGGGCACCAAAGGGCATTTTGTGGTTAAAGACGTCACGAAAAATATCAGAATACTTTCCTCCAAATGTATAAGAATCCTCATCCATATCTTGTTTCCCCCTCCTTTTTTTTTTTTTTTAGCCATCCCATGAAATTCCGCAATACATTACTCATCAGTGAAGGCTAAAGAGGAATTCTATGTCTCCCATTTCATGTTTTTTTCCTGTCTCGCTTTCCCTCATCAAATAAGGCCTATTCCATTACCGTTTCCGGATCTCGCCGTCCGTCGCAATTATTAGCGCTGCATCGTTCCTTCCCGAGGCAGTGTTACCTCGACCCTGACATTTTGTGACAAATTTCTCGGCTTTCTGCTCCGGAATTTTCATTCGTATTACCAAATTGATGGAAAAGATGAGGGGGAAAAATACAGTGTAGCCAACCTTGAGACTCTTGTTTATTCGTCAAGTTCTCTTGACGAGACGACGTGTAATGAATTGGATTTACAGGGTCCTGCCATTTTAAGTTGATTATTCTCAAGTACGCTGTCCCTGAGGAGAACTGTCTCCTTGAAAAGAGACTAAAATGAGAGAAGGTACTCAGAAGAAAGTGTCTCCTTCAAAAGATTCTAAATGGAAAGCTCCTCATTGGGGAATAGTGGTGCATTGTTCTGGACATTAGCTTTATCCTGAATTTTTTCCCCAAAATTGTGAAAATAAGAAAAGAGAATTGCATCAAAAAGCCGCGAATTACAGTGTAATTTCTAGAACATGTTCACAAGAATCAAGAAAGGTTGTTCGAATTTTAAAGTAATTAGATCAAGTGTTAATAGATGAATTCTTGCTACCTGAATTACTCGCTTCTCAGAACCACTCTAAAATATTGTACATTTAATTTCTCCTTTTGTGGTTGTGTTACAAAATATGCTGGTTTTCAAAATAGTTGTAAACATGTGGCTGATACCAAAACTGATTTCAGCAATCATCAAAATTAGTTTTTAAAGGGCCCATGCAATGTAATTTTTTTATGCGATCCGTGGAAATGCACCTTTGTGTCCCATTTAACATTTTTTCCAGTTTTCGTGTTGCCATTTTCAAAGATATTTTGGTGGCTTTTTGGTTTATATACTAATGCAAATTTCGGTATTCATGAGCAAAAGTGTGGTACCATTTCAGGCAGAAACCTCAATGTTACAGCTTTTTCGGCACCAAAAGTTGCTAGAATTTCGGATGTTTCGCTGTTGTAAATTTTCTTTCATTTGGTGATTTGTTGCTGTGTCAGTACATGTCAGTAAGCCAGTGAGCAAAGTTTTCTCACAAATATTTTCAATAGGCAGTTTGTTCGGGTGTACATTTTGAACAGAAAACCCCTAAACTAAACAGTGTCTTCCTGAAATGACATCACAGTAACAGCCCCTTCAGTTGCCAAATGTCAAATAGTTTTCATACATTTAAGAGGCCGGAGTAGAAAGATGCGCAAAATATGTTCCTAAGACAAAATTAACCTCCTGGACCCTTTAAAGATTAGCCAATCTATTGGATCAAAATACAGCATAGAATTATGACAAGCCGATGTAGCATATTGACGTCATAGCATGTTTTTTTAATTTTGTCTAATTAAGGCACTTAATTCCGTACTGAAATAAGACAGCTGCTGGCTTCGTTGTGATTTTTTTTAAGTGCAGCATACAACAGTGCTGTAGTTGAGTGCACCACATGTTTATTACAAGTCAATCACAAGTCATATATTTCTCCAATCAAATCAGAAGCTAATCAAAATATACTGGTACAAAGGCATTCCTTTATTATTGTTCATCCCATGACTGGATTTGTGGATTGACTTGTGATTTACTTGTGATTGGACTGGTGATGGACTTTTGATACACTGGACTGCAACATTAGCAAGCCACACATGCAGTTACTGTTGCTTCCATCTTTTTCAGAGACTTGGCTCCCCCCCCCCCCCATTAACCCTCCTATGCAAACATACATTCTGTGCCAAGTAGTCCTTTCAGTCAAAATCAATCAAGTGACTGTTTTCAACAGTTAAGAATTCCCAGCCGACATAAAGCAGGATTGACTGGCTTGGACTGTTTATGTGACTTGATATACAGCTATGCTTTGACTCGGGTGATTGATAAGCCAGCTGTGACCACAACTTGCCTGCTTTGTCTGTTCATGGTTTGTTGACTGAATTTGACTAGTCACAGTGCTTGCTTGACAAATGATCTGACTGTTCATGCTATAGCCTGTGTTAATATTATAGGGGAAGTGGGTGGACATTTTGACTGTCTGTGACTGTTTAAAGGGTTAAGCTTCAGTTCAAAATATATTCCAATTGATCTGTATGAGATTTTGGTCAAAATATAAGACTTTAGTGTTAGAGCACATAATATATTGTGACATTTCACATTTCACATTTATTTCCATTTCACAATTTTCCAAGTCACAGTTTACAGATAATAGTATAAATTTATAACAAGTGTACTATAAGGTGAAAATTATTGACCATAAATACATGAAAAAACAAAGGTGAAACGGAGGCATGTCCTGGTACAGTGTTTGCTTGAGTTTTGATGTTTGATTTCTTCTTCATCAGCTTCTTTCATTCTTTATAGAGCTTGGCATTGTATGCATGACTTGAAGTTTAAATTTTTCTCGTTTGTTTTTTTTTCTTTGTCCTCTGCAGGAAGTTGAGGTCACTCAGCAGAGACTAGCATGTGAGAGTCTTGAAAAGGCTCTCTCAGAAGAAAGAAGAAAGTGTGCTGATTTGGTGAGTCGGCATGAATTCATAAATTTTACACAAATCAAAAACAAAATTTGCACTCACTGCTCAATCCCAAATACTCCAGTTCCAAATATTTGAATTAAAGGGCCTACATGTTAATGGCAGAGCCATCGAGTAATGGAATAGAATCAGAGATATTCAAGCATCCCTTATTACGTGTAGGCCAAATACAATACTTGTGAACTATGCTCAGAATTTCTCTGGTTTGAGTTGCCGATATCACCTTCAACCGCTGCAGCTGCTTGACGGCGCTTGTCAGGGATCTGCACAGACAGGCTGCCTTACAAGAACAAAATTCGAATTCAGTCTTTGAGTAAGAGTAGCGCACTTACAGCTGTGGCAGCTGCAGACCAGGGACAACTTTTATTGTGATGTTTCTACACAACTTTACCAAGTGAAACAAATAAAATTGATATAAAAAATTCTCATATGTGAGGTATATTGCACATGACTGGTTTTCAGCGGATTTTAAGCAAATATATATTAAGTACCTCGACAGAAATGGGCCTTTAGGCTGCAAGGAAAGTTCACATCCCCTAACCACTCTCTCAACCCATTTGCGCGCACCTGTGAGTGTATTATATTGTATTTATATACCCAGGTTTGAAGCAGTACAGGGAGTATCTGTCAGGGTGGTTTTGCCGGTACAGGGATTAATGGGTTTATAAGGCAAGGGCATTGCAAAGTTTGACTATAACAATTTGTGCTTATGGCATTCAATTTATTTTCTTTTATGCAGTCCTCTGACTACCAGAATGCACTAATCCAGAACACCACCTTAACGAGAAAGAACACTGAGTTACAGCAGAAACTAAACCTTCTAGAACATGTAAGTAAAACCAGTTTCTTAAAATTACATTCGGTTTCAGTTGAAAGCATTTGTTTTTGTTCAGATTTTGTTTTTGTTTTTGTTCCCCTTCTATCTCAAATCACATAGACATGTACACAAACTGTTCTGTTTGAACAGCAGACACAGACATATTATTTTGGTTTGGGTATGATGCAACATTAATTTTGTGGAGGAAAATTTGCAGAGCCCTAACCGCTACTTAAATAGATAATAGGAACTGATATTAGAAACCAGGAAATGTCTGGCTTGACATCAACCAGTTTTCTTTGTGATTGCTTGCCTACCTTAAAGTGACAATGGGGAACAAATAATAAAAGATATATGGGATGTTTGGAAATTTATACAGGTAGTAATTAAAACAAAAAGAATACATGCCTAGGGGATGAAATTTGATGCAACAAACACTTACACAATCAATTTTGAGTCTAATCAATTCTGAGCTGTCACAGGCAGAGTGTCAAATATCTTTCCATGGTGAGGGAATTATATTTGGGTTGAAAAAGAATTTACTCTCCTTTTATGCCATAATAAGGAATTATTGTGAGAATGTTTGAGTAAAATTTGCTGGGCCAACTGAGGTACATGTAGGGATCAATTAAACAACCTGCCCATTGAAGTGCAAATACACCATGCATCCCTGGTGAGGCTGGGGCCCAATTTCTTGGCTCTGCTTACCATTAGCAAAAAATCCCTACTTACTGTAGCTGAAAATTATGTGCTTACAATTAGCATATTTCACAGGTTAGCAGGAATTTTAGTCTGCGCATATGTATATCATAACTGTGCTGAAGTGGTTAGCATAGAATTTGTCTTCTAGCACTGTTAGCATTTTGGAAAGCAAACAGCATGTGGGGAAACCCCATCCACAATTGGGTGAGACATAAATCCAGGTCATAACTCTAGGTGGATATGAAGGCCAGGAAAGCGCCAATGTGCACAGAATGGTGATCGTAAGCGCGTAATTCTTTGGTAAGCAGAGCCATGAAATTGGGCTGAGCTGGTGAAAATGGATGAATACTTTTGATAATGTATGTTGAATTCGTTTGTCCTTACTGGCTTAAAGGGAATATACAACATTTGCAAACATCGCAAAACAAAACTTCCAAATTTTTATGAAATACCTTAATAGGATGTTGGTAAATGACAGTCTAAAGCATCCTGTAAAAGGATGGCACCAGGTGTGAAGTCATATTCAAGAAAAGTGGTATTTTTGTATAAATTTCCAACGGTGGTCGGCCGACCACTGTTGGAAAAACCCAACTATTTTCAACTACTGCTCCAAATTTACCAATTTATTTAGTCCAAATTTTGTTTGCTATTGGTTACATGTTCATGAACGGGTGCAGAACAGCTAGACTGGTTCCCTTACCTTGCATTTTTCTGGCACCTATATATTGATCCATTTTATCTTTAGTGGAGTCAGGGAACCAGACTACTTGAACTTTTTTTGTTTTTCTTGGTTTTTCCAGCATTTTCGAACACACAACTTCAAACATGTCGGTGTAACAATATTTGATATTATTATTATACCAACCCCTCAAATAGTTCATATCTGAAAATTACAGCAAAAGCCAATGATGTACATTCCCTTTAAAATGGCACATTGGTGCTTTCCTGGCCTTCATATCCATCTAGATTTATGACCTGGATTTATGTCTCACCCAATTGTGGATGGGGTTTCCCCACATGCTTTTTGCTTTCCAAAATGTTTTACCAATCTCTATCAGAGAATATTGCTTCATTATGTTCTCTACTTACATGAGTTTTGTTTAAATGCTTTCTAGGCCACAATACCTCAAACACTTTCGAGAAAACCTTGGTTTCAGTTGAAGGAGCACTTCAATAACAACATGAATAAACGATAAGTACTAGAAATAATTGACAGAATAATGTAATAAATCACCACGTATTTTGCGATCCTTCATAGTGCACCGCCAATGCGGATGCACGTCTAAAAGCCCACCAGCCATAAATCACAGATATTTGATCAAATCATCACTGACAGATTATTATCAAATTTAATAACACGTGATGGGTTTCCAGTCATTGGTTTCACTTGGTCTATCATCCCCTCGTTTCGCTACTCAAGAGACATACCGCTTGGCCATGCATTAAACATGCCGCATAGCCGCAAAAGATTCGCCTCTCTTTTTCATGAACTGCGCTATTATAAAGCCGATTCCATACGTGAATTCCTTTGCTGTTGAAAACGAAATAAAAAAGCTTCCTGCAAAAGATCGTAATCGCTGGTTTTAATTGCTGAATACATTAGACCTCAGGATCGTGGAGCTCTTAAGCCGGGCATGCGCCAGCACACATCAAAAAGATTTCTGAAATGTGTGCCGACAGATTACAATTCACCCTGCTTTATTCTACAGAGTGTGAGAAGTAGACCGTGCACATTTTCTGTTTCGTGTAAAAGCTTTAGCCGATAAATCACTGGAACGTGCTCTTGATGAGTCGCAGTGGAAACCTGGGTTGCCTTTCTTAACAAGATGTGTGGTGAAAATGTTGGAGATAATTCCAACCCCCCCCCTTTTTTTTGTAATAAAATCTCGCTAAGTATGCGGTCCACTGTGGGAATTATTGATGAGCGTGCGAAACAAGGGAAGCAGACCTTTGATGGGTCGTGAACACTGAAAGGCCGAGGGTAGATTGCAGTCAGTCGCTGTCAGACATGCTTGCTGCGAGTCAAACTTGGAAAGCGTGCCCCTAATTAACCACTACAGACATTGCCTTTGCTTGCACACACATGTACATTTGGGGGTGGGGGGCCAAAAATATTTTGGTCCCCCAAAAAAGTGGGTCAAAAATATTACGGCGTGGGGTTCGGGGCCCGCTTAAGGGCCCCGAAATTTTTTTGGATTCTAGATGCTCTGTGGTGCGATCTGAGGCAATTTCTGACCACTTTAACCAATGTTTTTTTTGAGGAAAAGATGGTGGTGTACTCATTGCCTGCCTTTATTGCGATGTCACATAAAAAATAAAAAAATTGGTTTCGTTTTGGGGGGGGGGGGGGGGGGGGCCATGGCCCCCTTTGGCCCTCCCTGGATCCGCCCTTGATCATTTTGCACATGCACAGTTGAAATACCGAACTGTCTTATTATAGAGTGACCCGTGTATACTGTGGTATATTGTGACCCATGTGAATTTTGTCAGTGAGAAAATTTTAACCTTGTCAGATACCTGATTTTTGCTGTAGAAGCTATCCATGTAAGTGACGGTATTTAGTGCCACATCGTCATTGCAACTGCTCTGAAACCTAATAAACTTTGCCTTCCACAAATTTGATTATCAAAACTTAGCATCAAGTTATTCTCCCTGTAACCTTGGGCAATTGACAGGCGAGTATTGCAATCGAATTAGTGAATAACAAATGAAATTCCGTCATCTGCTTCCATGACACATGCGTAATTTCCTTAGGCGAAAAAAGTCATTGATCATAGTGCCATAGCGCAAACAAACACACACGTACATGTATAATTCGCTCCCTTAATAGATAAACCCATGTGATGACTTCTTTTTTATTGCTAGAGGTTATTTCACTTCACAACAAAGATACTAATTTCCTTTTTTTAACCCGTCCAAATTTCTGACCTTGGGAATGAAAATCAAATGATGGCAGCTTGAAATATATTTTTTCAACTAAGGTTGACATGTTGTGCCTTTGTTTAGATGGCATGTGTGCATGGCTTAGACAGTCAATCTTGCTATGTCGTTTTGCAACACAAAAGAACATTCAGATTTGAAGGTGCCAGCAAAAAACGTAGCTGTGCTGGCATATGACTGATAAAGCGAAGAACAGACATGTGCTTGTACTGTTCATGGATGTGAGTCATTGTAGTACTGTCCATGTGTAGTGCAACATTTAATTATTATTCTCAGAGGAGAAGAGCATGTCTTCATACTGGATGAAAATTGTCCTAGCCATGCAGCATTTGCTGAATTTGATTTTTTGTAAGGAAGTAAGTTTTAATTTGTATTACTAGTGTGAACTTTGCTTCATTTTTCTTACAACAAGTTATGTGTACTTACCCTCCTGATATTTAAACAGTCACAAACAGTCAAAATTCACTTCCACTTCCCCTGCTATACTTGTAACAAAGGCTAGTCACCAGCAGTCAGATCACATGGCAAGCAAGCACTGTGACTAGTCAAACTGGGTCAATAGACAAAGCTGGAAAGTTGTGGTCACAGCTGTTTTATCACTCACCCAGCCAGTCAAAGCATAGCTGTATCATGTTACTTAAACAGTCCCAGCCAGTCAATCTTGCTTTATGTACCGGTAGGCTGGGAATTCTTAACTGTTGAAAACAGTCACTTGTTTGATTTTGACTGAAAGGAGAACTTGCACAGAATGTTTGTTTGCATAGGAGGGCTCATGTTTGCAGGATTGGGGATAAAATGTTGGCTTGACAACAATATACAATATTTTGTATTCCATGAATCAAGGATTTTCCCCCAAGTACCCATTGTGTCTACACATTATACAGTTGACTCTCGTTATAACAAACTCATTCGGACCTAGCCAAATTGTTTGTTATATCAGAATTTTGTATTAAGAGGAACATCAGTCCCATTCATTGTGCACATAAATGCCCAGTGGGGACCAAGGCTTTATGTTTGTTGTAACCAGAATTTTGTATTAACAGAGTTTGTACTAACAAGAGTCGACTGTATATGTACTTGAGAAACCAGTAATGCCAAGTTCCCTCATCCCAAATCAAGCAGTTGCAACTGCAAAGTTTATCAACACACTTGATCTTTGAGTTTGGAATTTTTCAGTGGGAGTTTTACATGTAGAACAGCCCATTGCTTGCATCCATTGATGGTGCCCCAGATATCTGTTTAACCACATCACGTTAAAAAAAAAATTATGAGGACCGAAAACACTATGGGGACAGCAGAAAGTCCCAATAACTTGGTCCTAACTTCCCTACTCAATAGAAAACTTGGTGACAGCACAAAATTGGCTTAAGCACAAAACTGTCTTGCTTTTATGTTACCGGCCAAAACTCCATGCGATTGTTATGCTAAGTAAACAACAGCTAAATACCAGTCACAAGCAATGTACATCACATGGAGTTTAGGCCGGTAACCTAATTTTGCTAAGCATTGGTTTTTTGTACTTAAGCAAATTTTGTGCTTAAGCAGCTCTATGAAATTGGGCCCAGGGCACACACATACATTCATTTACATTTTCCAAGTATTTTTTAACTACCTTATCATTTTCCAGCCCTTTTAAACTGTTTTGTAAGTCATTTTAACAGAGATATGGGCCCAATTTCATGGCTCTAGTATCTGCTTACCATTAGCAAAAAAAATCCCTGCTTGCTGTAGCAGAAAAGTATGTGCTTATGGTAAGCGCATTTCACGACTTAACAAGGAATTTTGGCTTCTGCGCGCATGCGTACATCCCGTAACTAAGCATTCTGTGCTTATAGGGTTACCACAGAAGTTTTCTGCTAGCGCTGTTAGCATAAAACGGTGATTGTAATTAAAGCGTGGAATTATGTGGTTAGCAGAACCATAAAATTGGGCTCTGGTGATCAACCTGCAACGCCAGTGCTAATTCTAGCAAAGCCATCAAATAATTTTGTGCACAAAGTCATGTCCAGCCATGTCATTGCACAACACTGGCTATTACTAATAGCATGTACTTGATCATCATCCAGCCTTCGTTTTTTTCTTCCCCTTCACTGTGGTTATCTGATTGCCAACCTGTAGCCTAATGGCGTTACACCGACACATTTTCATGATTGTCATCAGCCGGAATCACTCGTTTGACACATGGACTTCACACCATTCCCACTATCTGGCAGCGGCCTTACGCTATATGCACACCTGAGTCGCAGGAATCCTCAAAGGGCAAGTTATGAACAGTCCGGTGGGTTGCGCATGTACGGTGTAATGTCGTTTGGATTGATGAGTCCGGCTACGATCGACAGCTTGCTATCGTTTCGATCTTGCGTGTTCTCTAAGGGTTAATGCGTAAAAAGGAATTAAGGAGTACCAGCACATTTACCAATTATCGGTTACATTTAGAATGTACGTGGACGGGAGAAAATAGACAGTGTTTAATTTCTGTCACCAGGCACGTACTGTTCAACTGAAAACAAACCCTGCTTTACAACACATGTACTTTAGCTTCCTCTTTTGCCTCCAGCATGTTTGAATAATGCCACAGGCAATAGTCTGAGTGAATGAGCACGCTGTAACCACACCATTTCGGGTGTAAAGAAAAATGTGAATCCAATGTTGTTATTGTAAGTTTACATATTGCTACAGCTCCAAAATTACATATACATTTCTACAATCTGAACTTTTTAGATTTAAACAAGTTAAGTATTTAATTACTTTGTTTGCTTTGTTTGCTTTTTTTTTTGAAAATTGAAATTTGGTAGTTATATTTTGTGGGAAACTTATTGGGCTTATTTTGGTCGATTTTCGGGAACAGACTGACAGACCGACCATCCGACCGACCGACCACCAAGTGACATGTAGAAGCTCCTGCCAGAGGATGTGGCCTAAAGCATCAGTCTCAGGCTGTTTGGTACCGCCCCTGAGTAATTTCTCGCCATGTCGCCAACATTTTAACCACAAGTCACCAATATTTTAAGAACTGAAAATAACTGGTCAAGTCCAAATCTGGGAAATTTCAGACTATGTTCAGGTCCAAATTATTGTTCATCAAAAGTCATGTCTGTGTCTTAGGTAAATTTAAGACCGATACATTATTCACAAGTCATGAATTTTGATAAATGATTCTTGTCAACCAACGACAAGGAGCAAAATTTACATGTTGACTTTAACCCTCCACCAGCAAACATGAGAGCATGACTGTGAAACTGAAAGATCCACAAACTGTTGATTTTGATGCCACACAGGGTGCGACTCGGCGTCTAGACCTCATGACAGCTTAATATGAACCCATGATTGATGGTCCTAGCTGGTGTCACAATTAGTCTTCCTCAGCTTTCTGATCAAGAGCGGGGATTTTTTGTTCATATTACTTGAGGATAGGTTGGGAGCTTGTCATAAAATGTGAGTGTGATGATGACTTGGAGGGTGTGCAGAAGATCACAAATAGAAGGATGGATGGGCTTTTTTGGCAGAAGAAGAAGAAGTCATGAATTTTTTTGTTTTATTTTTCAGTCTCAAGTTAATCACTACTTTTAAAGACTTAAACGTACATTTACATTATGTTTGCACTTACATCATGGATTTTGTTGTGCTTATTTTGTTTGTGTGTTTTTGCACACACACACAAACTTGTAACAAAAGTATATTTTGACAAAACACTACTCAATATTCTTAGTTTTGTCAAGATTCAGACATACATGTAATTAAGAACATTACAATTTCATAATAAAATGTCTAAATCTAGTTAATATTTTCCATATTTGAACAGCAGTCGTTTATTATTATTATATTATTTGAATGCAGTATGTTCAAGTAATTCCATTCCTATATTTCTCTGTCAGTTGTTTCCTAATGTAGTTCAGTTCATGCATGATTAGAAGATTCTTTAGAAGATTAAAAGTTTCTTTAGAACAAAATGAAACAATACTGCCTCGAAAACACGCTATTTTTCTATTTCATATGTTAAAAAATTAATTTCTGCAGGTGTGGGTTAACACGTGCAATTGAAAAGGTCAACACATAACCCATGCACTTTATTATCGCCCGATTCAACAGCTCGCAAATCCTCGCGTATATATCCCCAGAAATGCACGTAGTATGAAGGCATGCCTCATGGCCTCAGGCCACGGATTTAATATAATTATACAGAGATCATTTTTTGCCGCGTTCCGTCTTTCTGAATTGTGCATTGCTTCTAGAGATACAGACATGATAGATGCAATATTTGCAAATGCAGGCCTCAGCTCTAACATTGCCAAATCAACAGGGTGTTGTTACAATGTACTTACATGTACCTGAAATAATGGTTGTACATGTACATGTACATGTATTTTATTTTAATGCATCACTTCGGATTTTTTCTCTGAGCAGTTGATCTTTAGCAAATTACTGTCAGGAAACTGAGGATAAATATGATAAAGAAATTGATTTGGACATTTTACAGAATTTGTCAGAAGTTCAATCATGTCACAGTCTTTTTCTTTTTGCTCCCATACTATAAAACCAATAAGCATTTGTATTACTGGTTCTTTGTACCAAACTTATGATGAATCCATATAACCATGCAGTACTGAGGCGGTTTGGGGCGGTATAGGCCCAAGGAGTAACAGGCAGGATGGTACAAGGACTAAACCTAACTCCCTAAGCCTTTTTTTGCTAGGAACCATCCTCAGTCCTCCAAAATCCTCCATAATTTTGCACTTATGTTCAAATGAAGGATACCCAGCACCTCAATCCTTCAAAATCGTCAGATACCGGTAGTCCTGTTTCAAAAAATGCATTTATCCTCAATCCTCCAAAATCCTCTTGTGCTTCACCACCATTCATCCTCAATCCTCCAAAATCCTCATGTTTCTCAAACTCCATTCATCCTCAATCCTCCAAAACTGCAAAGAGGATTTTGGAGGATTGAGGTGGGTTAGGGCTAATGGGTTAAAATATACAATGTACATTACATTAGCAGCCATACATCATCCTCGACTGAGTACATTCCTGTTGAACATGTTAAACAATGCCTTGTTTTGGTTTGAATTGATTTTGCAAACTTGAAAGCACATCACATTCATTTAATTGTACTCCAAGAGATACATAAACATATAAAACATGGGAATCACAACAAAACAGCTGGCCAAGGATAATCTCGTTTCAAAAACTTCCCCGTTGTTGTCTTTAATGTTGTTATTCTGTGCAGTTTCTTATATTGAATCTGTCTGTCTATCATCGACTAATCTTTTTTTTCTTCCATGTGATAATGACTCCTAATTGGTTTCCTTCACGTGCAGGTCAACAGAGAATGCCAGAAACTGCGCGTGGAGGTGAACGAGCAACGGCAACTCTTTGAGAACACTGCCCTCGAGCGAGACATTCTATACGAAAAAGTCGAGAAACTGGAAAAAGACTTGTTGGTAAGTCCAATGTCTTGTGAAGTAGTCCGTTGCTACATCAGATTCAAAGTGGCAGCCAACCCCAGCAAGCTTTGTGGTCGAGTGGTTAAGACATAAGTAAGCAGGAGGTTGTGGGTCTGAGTCCCACCCTAGCAAGCTTATTAACTGTTTTTCCGCACGAGCTCTGTGGCAGCGAAAAGCGTGGTGCTTATAAATACAGATTATGTTAAATAATTAATTAACATCAGACTGACCCTCCCCCAATGTTATTAAAGACATGTGACAGGCTTTTCAAATGTGCAAATTGTGATAACCCAGAATACAGGATCCTATCATCGAACATGTTTGGCTCCTAAAATTATTGACCATTGAAGCTCAGTTATAGTCACATTAAATGGAAAGCCAGCCTTGTAGCGCATACTCCTGTGTGAATCCTCTGGAGAGAGAAGACAAAGAAATATATTCATTATGTCCTAAACAAAACAAAATCACAAATTCTGCAGCATTAAACTTGATATTCCAAAATGCTCTTTCCCGCCTCGCCCCTATGGGACGGTTACCCAACCTTCCGCAAATGTTATCGCACTCAAGTTGTCGCATATAAATCCTGCCATTACCAACTGATCCGATTGGATAAAAGAGAAAGAGAAAAAAAATGGAGGGGGGTGGGTGAAACGGGAGTTCCTCTCACTTTAGTGGGGCAGATAGGGGATATATTTGGGGGAATTGTGCCTTTGATGATACAAGCATGGAATTTTGCACACAGTCAGAGTATGTCTTACGAAAGATATTTGGCTATGAGGACCATCACAGATTCGTCCTTTGAAAAAAATATAGGTAGAATAACAAGCAATTTTCAAAATTTTCAAAATGGCTGCCATTGCTTGTTATTCTACATGTACCTAAAAAAATTGCAAAGGACAAATCTGCAAAGGCCCTATAGCCAAATATTTTTCGTAAGACATTCTCTGACTGTTTGCGAAATGCCATGCTTGTATCATCAAAGGCACAATCCAATCACCTATCTGCCGTACTAAGGTAATCGTACACTAAGCTGTCGGCCAAACATGAAAGGTGTGCGCTTGAGGTAGCTGATATAATGATTCAGCATTTGGTTTTTTATAATAAAGGAGGGGGGAACGGGATAAGCCTGTCGCTTTTTCTTTTGATTGATGATCAGATTTTTAGTAACTAGTGTGAAATGTCACGGCAGTTGATTGATGCTCCACTATATGTCAATTTGATTTGAGATGTTCTAGTGATTTGAAAGCATTAAACCATGACCAAAGCTGGTCAGTAGTGGTTGAAATTAAGAGGCTGGGATGAGGGATTTCAGCACCAGAAACACTTTGTTCATAGGACTATACAGGGTGGCCCACAAAAAAACCGGAACGGCATACTTCCACTACCTTGAGACTCAAACCATCTGTACCAATGGATGGAGAATCTTTTTAGAAGAAATATGATACCAAGATCTCCCAATTCGGTCCTGTAGGTTTTGCTGCAGAGCCTATTTTGTGAAGCACACATCTTTCATGTGGGTATTATTATGTGCCAATTAATGCCTCTATCTAATTAAGTCACGCAGTTCAGTAATTCATCGGGACAAAACCTTGTTTCACATGCAGAAAAGGCTCCAGAACAAAAATTAATGGATCGAATCGGGAGATATCATTCGTCTTTTAATAGAATTCCCCATGCATTGGTATAGGTTGTTTGAATCTCAGGGTAGCGGAAATATTCCGTTCCGCTTTGTTTTTTGCCTCCCTGTATACCCATAAAAATTTAAACCATGATATAATAGTTTCTGTAAAAAAAAGCCTACCGGTACTTTGTTGATGTTATCTTTGATTATGAACATGTGCATGGACACTCAGTGTTCAATCTGTATGGAAACCACAGCACAGTTAGCTATCGTCACCCACCCTCAACCCTGGAATCAAATTTCTTGTACATATAGATCTATGCGCGCACACCCAATTTTAGTCCACCCACATTTAATTGAATCGCACCCATCCTCCGTACACAGACGATTGGAAAGTCTTGTGACTATGTGTAATCCGACCCCTCATGTCCCAGGGGCACATGCGCATCTTTTCTCTGAAAGACAAACTGATCGCATCACAGTGTAAATTTGTTTGCTAGCTGGCTTGAGTGATCGAAAGCAGCGGCTCTCTGTTAGATTTTTCTTCGCCCTCCCCCATGTATTTCTAGCTGTTGGAATGCAAACTGTTGCTATGGAGCAAATACCAACTGCCTAGCAGTAATGGTATGCTGGTTTGGTGGTTGGATGTAGGTTTTGTACATTTCCAACTTGACATATATTGTCGATCCATGAACAGAACAACAGGTCTTTTCAAGCTGTAACATTGCATGTTCTGTAGACAAATCATACTTCAAATGTCATGATGACCAAATCATATGACATTGCTTCTGTTTTTTTCTAACAATTTAAAGTCCATACATGTACATGTGTGCCCAAATTGATGTGTTGTTCCGTACATGCATGTATTTGACGATGAAGAATGCAATATTAACATGATGTTTTGCAAAAACATAAGTAATACGAATTTCCCAGTCGATTCCAGAAAAAAATGATTCAATAAAACATTAAAAACATATACAAGCTTAGACATTTTGCACAAAAAGAGCACAAATATAGCACAATTATTACTCCGATTTTTTGAGCAAGAGTCCCTTCAACAACATGAACAAGATCAAAATTAACAGGGCCAATACACGTAGTCTTCCGTTCAAATTAACATCTGGATACAGCCTTCAACTGTTTCTTTTGCTGACCATCTTTCCGGAAGAGTTGGACTTTCTGCAAGATGCCAAAAATATTCGACCCCCGTACAGATGTTCCTTTTCCTCCCACCTTGCAAACCTAAAACAAACCCCTCAAACCTGAGCAACCTGCCAATACTGTCTGGCCGTCAGACGTGTCACATTTGTGTCCCTGATTGAATTAAATCCATCTCGTTGGCTTTTTCTTCTCTTTGACCGTTTATAGATCACTGCCTCGCACCGCGAGTGCAACCTTATAGCACCTCCGGACAGCCTGCCGATATTTCCTGCACTTAGGGGGAGCCATTTCAAATTCTAATTGGGTCCCCAATGCACAACGAAATCCGTTCTTTCCTGTTCAACTCCCCATTCCAATAGTCCATGCACATCACACTATCCCCGTGGAGGCTTCAAAATATCCCCAAGGGTTTAATTTTGAGACATTTTATTTTGTGGATTTGGGGTTTGTCATTAAGGAACTGTTTTTAATGTGATACAGTCGGCTTTAGCTTGTCAGTTTCAAGTTATGGATGAAATGAGCCGCAGGGAAAAAGCATGTGACAATCCTGTGAATCTGTTGAATAACGAGTGCATGTATGATTTGCAGACCTGGATCGGGTTGAGCAGGATGGGCGTAATATTTCATGAGTGTGCTTTAATTGCGGCAAAAAATATCCACGATACAATACTATAACATGAAGTTCATGTTAGCACTATTCTGCATGGTGTAATATTTCTGCCAGGGGGATGTAAATTCACTATTGGGTTTTACCCGCGGATGTAATTTCATAAGCACTGTACACTCAGTGCTGTTGGAAGGCTCATTTGAAAAAAAATCACAGGTTTACCAAGGCGGGACTTGAAACCACTACCTCCTTACTAGTGCAGAAATCTCACCACTTGATTTGAACTAGCCTGCCACACAAAAAACTCAGGTCGAGCGGTAAGACAGCTACACTGGTAAGCAGGAGGTCATGGGTTCACGTCCCAACCGAGTAAGTTTGTGATTTTTTTCTCAAAAGCTCGCAAAAAGTATAGTGTTTATGGCATCAAATGTTGGTGAAAGGCAAAAACCCAATATTGAATTCCATGTCAGCCATTATTGTATTTTTAATGGTAACAGTTTTTGAAAGTAAAGAAAGTTTGGGAATCTTTTTTTACTGCCTGTACTGTTACAAAACTCTCTTAAAAGTACCACTTGTAACCCCCAGAAAACCTTTCTCAAATGTCATGTCACAGCTGGGATCGATTTTTGTCGTGGGGCTATTGTCTGCATAACCTGTTTCCGTTGTCCCAAAACAAACAGTTACAACTAGACAACCCAGGGCGAGCTTGCAGCATCTATATAGTTTGCCAAATAATTTGATCAGTCTCACACTGTAGAAAGCATCCTCAGAACAATCACTTTAATGGTAAATAGGCGTCTGGCGAAATGTTGCATCCAAATTTCCACCAGGGCAAGACACCTCATACACAGTCATAGAGCTGTTATACATGTACGCTTGAGCGGAACTTGTTCTGCAGGGGCTGAACAACATGTGGTTATTGAATCGTAAATTGAATTGAGTTTGTTACACAAGGCAACCATTGCTCTTTATGTCTTTAGTCTTTTCTTTGTTTATTGGATCACTTCTTGTTATTGCACGCTGTGGGCATGGCAGGTAAATTCACATCAATGCTAACTTTCATCAACTTTCATCAAATCGTCAAAGCGTAGGAAGGGGGGGGGGGAGATAATTTCTTGAAATTTGCTTGGCTGCTTCTGATCAAGACTGTTTTTTTTTTCCCAAGCCCATCATACTCCAACAGTAGGTTTTGGCTGGTTAAGTACTATACATTATGAACATGTTGTTGGACTTTAAGGCCCAGGGAGTCCTTGTTTAATTCTGTGAGGTTCAGGGAAGAAATACATGTACATGAGACTTTGGGGGAATGTACAGTCACTTTTTCGTGGGTGAGCTCACGGCTGGTCCCTTACACTGTCGCTGGTCAACTTGACATATTGTTTCCAACACATTGTTTCATTTTGTTAGGTTTGTTACTATCACTGGCCAGTCACCCGACAATGCATAGACCCATTCATACCACATCAATCAAAACTCATCAGTTTTGACCTGCAAGAGCCTAGGGGGTTAGGGTTATGTTTAGTTCCTTGTTTCAGTCTTCTGCACATTGTACATTACTGCCATGCAGATAGAGGTGCCTTTTAAAACTCAGTGATCCTTTCGAGTCATTCATGCATATATTCATTGCACCAAAACCTTGACCAGGCAGCGCCCTCACAAGTAGGGGTGTGTATCGGAGCCGGGTACCCGAGTACCCCACCGCTGTTGTCAGAAACCGGTTCCAGACCATGGGATGGAGTACCTGTAACCAACTTTACAAATTACTAGCAACCTTATTTTAACGTAGTGACTTCTCAGACAATGAAACAGAAAGGTTTTGAATGCTACATTATTGTATTTTGTGGGGAATTTCCAAAATGAAAACCAGACTGCATGGAAAACCAAAACATGTCACATGCATTTGAAAGTTGCAAATCCTTTAGCCAACACTATACACACTTGTATCTTGCTGCATTGATGCACCAATGTTGTAGTGATATCAGGCGCACCTTTATGAACAATCTGAACAGCAACTTTTGGGATTTGAATTTTGGGGTTGGGTTTGTTTAGCGGGTACCCGGGTACCCATATTTTACTTCAGTAGTGTACCTGATTGCCGTACTACCCGTAAATGTACACCACTACTCACAAGCCCATGCACAAAGCTGACAGAATTGATGGCACGCTTTGCCGTTAACTCTAAGGCCTCAAGAAAGAGGTTGCTAACCCTCGAGTCAGTCTACCCTACCTGCGGAATTAACACCCCTCTCCCTACTCCCCCATCCCCCCTCTCTTATCCCCCCCCCCCCCCCCTTATTCCCCCATCTCCCTACCCCATCTCTCCCTTCCGCTTGTTTCGGCATCATTGTTGACAAAATTGATTCCCTGACACGTCGGATGTGCTGCGAGAACATCACGGTAGTTTTCCCCACCACATTGTTTTGACAAGAAGCTCTCAGATGCTGCATTTGGGGGCTCTTCAGGACATTTACAGTGCCATTTGTGACATTTGCTGAGATGTGCTCTGTGGATTTTTTGCCTTTGCTTTTCTTGGGTTTTTTTTTTTATTGAATGTTTTTGCTTTTAAAGGGGACTGGGAATGGAGGGGAAAAGTTTTCTCGGGTGGCGAGGGATTGAATATTGATGCCTACTGTCTTGGCATGGCATTGATTTTTGTTGGAAGTGTACATGATTGAGAACTATGACATGAATGGCACAATGGCTTTATAATAGCATACAGAATTCCCCAAAGTATCTTGTCTGTGCTCCTTTGATAAAAAAAAAAATCACTTTGAATAAATCAATACTTTTAGAATTTGAATGAATCAGTGTTGTAGTCAAGTCTATCAAAACTTAAGTCACAAGTCCTTCACAAATAGATCACAAGTTGATTCACCAGTCAAGTTACAAGTAAAACTTACTGGAGAAAGACAACATTGAAAGAAATGTCTTTCTTACAAATCGTTTGAAAAGCTTGTGACTTTACTGGGAACTGGATGATTTGTGGTTGATTTGTATTGGTTTAGTGTTGGACTCATGTGATATTCTTATTGCAAAATAGCCCTTTTTTAATTTGTTTCTCTTAGTATTGGACTGAAAAAAATTGCATCCCAGGTTGAAAGAAAAAACTTATTTTTTAAAAGTGCACATGGAAGAATTTTCAAGGAGTATTTGCCCTTTTCTTATCACAGCTGATGCAGGACGCGGCGGAGAAGCGTCGAGCTCTAGAACGGGAATATGAGCAGGCTATCAGGGAGCTCAGGGAAAAGCAGGAGGAGATTAGGAAACTCCAGCAGGTAGGTCCCACTTCATCTTCCTCACAATCACTCAGAAACTCAACTCATGGGTTGAGTTTGTGTGAGCTCATTCAAAAATTAGAGACAATCAGAAAGTTCACTCGATCATTCAGGGGTTGGACCTTAGTGAGCTAGGGGAAAACAGCAGATCTGAAAAGTGATTCTCATCTTGTCTTTCTCTCTGAGACACTTGCACCTGTTTGAAACTGGTATACCAAAGTCGGGAACAGAGTGCAGCCAGCGTTCTCACCATGGGGCAATTTCTGTACCATCCATTCTAAAATTAAGGTAGACAGGTGTTTTTTTCACCGGTCATCTGGTCATCCGGTCTCCATAAAATCTGCTTGGGTCAATGAGAGTTGCTCCTAACACATTTTTGTGGAGGCCTTTCTGGAACGGATGTCAGAAGCTCAACTTACATGTAAATCACTCATGGGTTGGGTCTCTATGAGCTGCTAAAAAGTCTGGTCACAAGTAAATCTCAAGTGCATCAACAAATTCAATCAGAAGTGTATCAGATGGATGAAGAATAACAAAGGGATCCTTTTGTCACAGTATGTTTGAATAACTTGGGACTTGACTCAGGACTGGATGGCTTGTGATTGACCTATGACAGTCTTGTGAGGACTTGTGATGGACGAGACTACAACATTGGTCAAGGAATTCCAGAAAACTGAAACGTTTGCATCTTTCAAATTCCCTCAACATTAGACACACTTGCTGTCATTCGTGAACAGGCTCAAGATTAACCAAAAGAAAAGCAGAAGATGCGGCTATATCTCTCCAGTTGACATTGATTTATGAGTGATGTTCTAACACCATAGACAAGCAACAGTGACCACTTCTTCACTTATCAAAACAAAAAATTCCCAACTTCTCCATTTGCTCCTTTTAAATTTGCCAAATTGTCACATCCCCGTAATTTCTCATAAAGAACCTGTAAACAGCACCCCTCTAGCCCAGGCTTCCTGCCCCATCCAAACTCACTATTTCCTTTCCATTATAGTCATCATCACCAACACTTACTGCCCCAGCAAAAGAAAATACATTCAGCCACAAAATATAAAAAGCAGGTCCTCCTAGATATAATTAAACCTCACTCAGGATCCAGTTGATTCAAACATAGCCCAAGTTTCCATTTTTATTTCCTCAAAATGAAATAGGAATCTAACAGTTCGGCAAGAGTCCATGTATCAAAATACCTATTGGCAATAAAATGATACCTTTGCCTCATCACGGGTCGAAGTATATCAAATTTTGTGTTGTTGAGATCCTCAGACCTGCTGTTTAGAACAACCATCTCGTTCCTGCACTTGCTAGGGGGAAACGTTTGTTAAGTTTCATTTCCACATTTTGTATGATGGAGTATATGGTAAAATACCAAGCCTGGTTAGCCATATTGACTCATCAGAAAGTGAAGTAAAGTCTGTCAAGATCCAATGTGGCCCGTCAGGCTGGCATTTATCTCTGGTTTGAAATGACTGAAAATCTTTCTTTTCCCCCTGGATGGGATGCCAGTCCATCTCAGGTTACTACTCCCCAGCTAATGCTAGTGGAGAGAGGCAAGTGGGGGTGAAGTGGCTTGCCCAAGGACACAGCATATAGCCGGCAGCTAGATTTGCACCCCTGACCCTCTAATCATGAGATACAAGCCCTAACCACTAGGCCACACTCCCCCACTCATCATCAGAACAAACTTCATTTTGCTCACACGGGTGCCACTGCTATGGACCTGTAAAAAGGAGTGGACCTTTATTAATTCTTGATGGCTAGCCACAAACAGGTTGTCCCACAAAAAAAAAACTAACAGTCGAATCGGGCATGTTTTCAGAAAAGTTGGGGTAGTATCGTGTCTAATATATTGCTGAGTATAATAATTGGTCTTCCAAAATGCTTTTTAGTTGGTTTCATTAGGATGTTTTGTTCAAAAGATACAGCAATCACAATACGGGACTTGAAAAAACCACTTGGGCCACTCATATATTGATCAAGTTTACAGATCAAAGCGGGTAGAATAAGTCACACATTACTCTTGAACAAAGGAAATAAATCCTTTGTGTGTTTCTCTTACTGAGCTGTCTCACTTTCAACGAAAGTGGCCCATGACGATTCTCATCCAGTTCAGATGAAGCAAAGCATTTGTTCAAATGCATCAATTTGAATGAAATAAAGTTTGTATGGTAGATTGGTTATCTGATTTTAAGAGGTAGTTTGAAAATATTCCAAAACCCACATGAAGTGTTCCAGTATTAATTGGTTTTTGACTGTTCATCCAGGCGCAAGTCACAAGCTATTCAAATTTACAGTGACAAAGACATTCCTTTTTTGTTGTTTTGCAGTCCCCCGTTACTTGTGACTGACTTTGTGATTTGACTTGGGGCTGACTTGTGATTTGTCTAGTGATCAACTGGCTTGTGATTATACTTGTGACTGGCTTGTGATTATACTTGTGACTGGCTTGTGATTATACTTGTGACTGGCTTGTGATTATACTTCTGACTGGCTTGTGATTATACTTCTGACTGGCTTGTGATTATACTTCTGACTGGCTTGTGATTATACTTGTGAATGGTTTGAGATTTGACCTGTGACGGACTTTTCCATTGTATCCGTTAACCTTTGACAGGAGCAGCAGGTAGCCAAGAGGGACCACCATGACTCAGTCTCGCGCCTGGCATCCAAGGTGAAAGACCTGGAGCGCAAGTGCGACGAGCAGAGCAGCAACTTTAGCCGCCTTTCTGACGAGCTCCTGGCACTGCGCAACGAGGCGGGCAGCCAGCTCTTCACCATGACGTCATCGGCCGCAGGTACCGGCGCCATCGCTGCAGGGCCTGCCAACACCAAAGGAAGGCCGGAGGCCGGCATATCTCATCCAGTAGCGGGCAGGGTAGGTGTGGCGTCATCCAGAAAAGGGATGGGGGACAAGGACAAGGAAGATTGGCGGAGAATTGCTGAGGAGGCAGTCGTCACGAGAACGTCGGCACCACAGAGATTAACGTCTGAAGATAGAATAAGAAATTCCCTTTCGGAAGGTGAGTGTTCTTTGCAGTTTATTTACGTATTTTGAAAGTCTGTTGCTGAAGTTCTGTAGTTAGATATTCTTTGTCTGCTTGTTTGTCATGCTATGCTCCCTTGTATGCCCCCTCCCCCCTTTTCCCCCTTCTTCAGAACTCTCCAACACCTCAGGTGACCTCCTGTCTGAATACGACATCATTCATTCTGACGAAGATTCCCTTCGGCCGTCGCTGGCTCCTCCCCTTTCTTCTCATGCTCCCGGTGCTGACCTTTCACCCCCACCTGAAAACATTGATCCGTCCTGGTATCATGATGCAGGTAGTCCTTGCAGAGCTTCTGTAATCTGATTGACAAGCACTACACATGCATATTCATGACTTACCTATTTGCATTATTATTTGCATAATATAACATGTCCTGGTGTCATGATGCAGGTATTCCCAGAGAGTTTTCTAAACTCCCATTCACAAGCACTGACATGCATATTCATCACTCGCCTTACATCTCAGATTTGGACTCTGTGTATGGCTGTATGTACATAATCTGCAAAGCGTTATAATGATAAATGTTTTTTTGACAGACACATGAGCACAATTAGCACTGGGTGCCCTCTCATTCTCTCATAGCTGCGACAGCTTTCGTAAAAAAAATGAGTGATTGCTAATACAGTATGTATGCAATGCTGTTCAATGTGCCTTCCTTTTCCCCCATGGATGTGCCACAGCGCCATCTGTCATGTGTATTCATTTGCTTGTACATGCAGTTCCTGTACAGAGTCCATTCATTTCATTATTGCACCTGTTTTATTTGCAGGAAATTGTCCAATATTTTTCTTTGGTTGTAAAGGCAAGAAATAACCAAGGCACCAAATGTTTTGATCAGATCTTGTGAAATTGTACAAATTCTTTTTTTTTTTATGAGACTAGTTTTAAGTGGTTAGGTTTGCTTGTATAATGGATGCCTTTTGTTCTGCTTGTGAGTTACGACCTTATTTTTCCATTTCAGTCTGTTGTCTTTTCTATACACTTTACAAAGTGACTTCTGCTGCACTTTGTATTTTTGTTTTTACACAACTCACAAAAAAACATTGAGCATATCATTCCACATTGGGTAAAGATGCACAAATGATGGCAATGGTATAAAATGGATCCTTACATGTATGTAGGATTATTTAAGTTCTATTTCATAAATTGTTCACACTGGTCTCATTTAGCTGTGACAACATGTCAGTCTTTGGCATGTTCTAGTTCTTCAATACCTTTCTTTAATAACCTAAGCCCTCAATCCTCCTAAATCCTCCAGGTTGTTTTGTCGGATTTTGGAGGGTTGAGGCTGAATGACAAAAAAGTGTCGGTTGATTTTTGAGGATGCATTGTGTCAAGTTCGTAGGCTGTACCCTGCATTGTTTATGTTCAGCCTTCATAATTGAGCCCTGCATTATGCTTGATATCATCCGCACTGCTTCTGAATGTCATCAGCACTGCCTCAACCCATTACAGTGATTGTTGGAGGATTTTGAAGGATTGAGGCAATGGTCACCCTTCCACTGAACAAATTCAAGAAATAACGGATGATTTTGGAGGATTGAGGCTGAATCCAATTTTTACATGGTAGCAATTGGAGGATTTTGTAGGATTGAGGATGGTTCCTAGCCAAAAGGGCCTGGGGGTTAGGGTTAATTGCTACTTTTATCTTTATCTCCAAAGTATATCTTACTGATTTACATCTTTCTTTCTCTTCCTGCCCATTTATCAAAAAAGGCCCCAAGCTTTTTTATCTCCTCTCCCATCTCTTCGAACTAACAGCCTTTCGCCAAAGACACTTTGCAACAGGAGCACTTTGCCACTTAACTGAAGTTCCCACAGCAGGAAAAAAAAACAAGCCAACTAAGAAAAGGAAATGTTCAAAAACCTGACACATTAAACACCAATTGTGTGAAAAGAGCATCTTCTTCGGGTTTCAGAGTTGACAAAAAAGGGGGAATAAACCCTGGGGGACTGCACTCAATCAAAGACATCCACTTCATTGATGGTTAACAAGAGAAAACCCTATTGCCAACTATCGCTGGGTCTCCAAGGGTTTGCGAAAATAGGAAATTTGCCCGAGTAGGAAACAGTCCCCGCGAGGTTTTCAATTGTGCGGAGAAAAAAAATCCTCAGTGGTTCATGTTGATTTCAATTTAAGAGCCCACTTACAGATGTCCGCTTCGAGCTATATCAGTGGGCTTTTTAGGAAATGAAACGGAGCTGAATTTTAGCCCCTCATGCATGTGTGCTCTGTAATGTAGTTTTCGGTACTCAGTTTCGTGTTCTAAAAAGAAAACCTGTAGGGGAAGAACCCTGTTTTGGCAATTAGGATAAGGTGGAAATCAATGCTTTTAAAATAGATTGAGAGAACAACATCTTTCAATAGCTCTCTCCATATAGTGTGAGGTTCCCATTCAATTTATTCACCCGGAAGGGAAGAAAGAAAGAGTGTCCAGTTAAACAGCCAGGCCCCTTTCAAGATAAAGTTCAGCAGTGTACCCCAGAGGAAAAGGCTTACATGTATGTTCAAATTTTGTGCAAGTGGTTGCAGCTTCACCGAATACATTTGTACTCTTTGCCTGGGGTGAAAATGTCGACTTTGCAACACTCTGAAGAGTAGATGGCTGGCTATAGTGCACATAAAAACAGCTTGCAGAAGAACTGTGTAGTTTGATTTCAAGTGCATTTCTGTTAAACAGCGTCTTGTTAATGCAAGTTGATGTGGCCTGACCTGTCACAGTTAATCTATTCAACACTGTATTTATTACAATCTTGCAGCATGTACATTTCAGAAGACAGGAACTTTTGAAAGAGAGAGTGGTAAAATTATTGGCGTAGATAATTTCAGAATTGAGCGACAATTCCCAAAAAGGTTTTGGGTCAGGACGGCAATCCGTCAAGTAATTTGTCTCAGCCGTGCATTAAAACCACGGGGGCTTTCTATTTTATCGACTATTTCAAATAATTTGACAATAAAATTTGCCTTTTAGAAAATTACTTTAGAAGCCTTGTGTATGATCATGCGTCATTTGAGGTTGCAAGAATCCTATCTCGATTTCAAGAATAGAAAACTTTCTCATGTGAGCTATATGTGACCTGTCATCACAAAATGAGCTTTAACTAAAAAGTCTGACGTTTTAAGAATTGAGATATCTGGGTTTTCTTTTTAATTCAGCAAAACAAGAGCTTTCTGATGGTATAACGTTTAGGGGTACTGAGTTCAGTAATGGAAATATATAGACCACTGACAAACTGATTCTCGAGACAGTGGCATTTAAAAATCCTGCAGTTGTGTTACAGTGAATGAACAGTCAACAAATAAACCGGTACTGGTATGAAAATATGTTTTAAAGATGCTTGACGGAACAAAAAATTGGAGAAAGATAAAAGAGGACTTACATTGTACAGATGAAGGTTCACCTGGAAACCAAAAAATGACCACCCTTCAAATGTTGGCTTTGACCCCCTGTACTGCAAAATGGCTAAAAGTGACTTTAACCCTAACAGAACTCAACTCATCAAACCCCAACAGTATGATTTGTTGGAATTAGTACCCCTAAACTGACAGTCTTTTACATTGGGTTGGCACACCTCCAGAATCTAAGTCAGAAATATGTGTGTACAGTTTCCCATATGGTGTTGGAATTTGCCAGGATGGGTATGGTACCTAGTAAATCATGCTACAGGTCACATATGGCCATTAATAACTCAACCAAAAAAATTGTCTCCATTTTCTTTCTTCACGAACAAAAGTTTTCCATTAGGATCATTATATGTACATGTAGTCAGGTCTACTCATCACTCTAATTCTCTTTTTATGGGTCATCCTGCTCCATAATGTCTGGAGATTGGCGCTAACAGACCATTAAAATCCAGACATCAAGTTTCAGATTTCCCAGTACTAATCCCAACTTGACATCTTTGATTTTTTAATGGGACAGACACGTTTCTTCCAAAGTTTTCAGCGGATGCATCGCTGTAACACGATCAGGCGCGTGCCTACCTGTAGATCGAACATAGAAAGATTTTAAGAGTTTCTTTTTCTTGATCAAGAAGGCCACGTCCGTTGCTTTATGTTGTCATGGTTGTACATGTATTAGTCTTTCGTCATTCGAATTTTAAGAGCAGAATACCGGTAGTTAAAGGGAAAGAGAAGAGTTATTTCCATCATTTCCTCCATGCAGCTCATGGCTTTCCAAGTATCAAGTATACATGTACGTATGTAAAGAACACTTTTTGGGGGGACCTATTCAGTGAAAAATACATTGATCGATACATGTACAATTGTGTGATTTGTGCAATGATATTCAAAAATTTATTCTCATGAAATGCTTTTATGTTGAATCATTGTCAGCTAACCACACCACTTCCTATTAGATGTGAGATCCATTTAAGTGCCAATGTCACATGTCATTGTTTGGTTTTCACAGAAAAATAACCTGCACAACCAAAAACCTCAGACTCTGAGGAAATGTTTCCATTGGCAGCATAATTGTGAACATGAATTCTGTAATTTTTGGAGATTTTTGTATGGAAATAAATAAACTAAAGCAAAATAGAGTAAATAATGTTTGTACACTGTACATCTACCGGTATTGCAACATTTTGAATAATATCCTTTTAAAATTTTTCTCCTTATTTTGTGAAATTGGTGCCATGCAGTGTCTACAGAGGAACTTGTTGCTCTGTGCCTCAGGGTCTTTGTTTTCTTCTTGCGCACGGTCAAAAAGGGCTACTCGTCAGCAGGGACAGCATTTTTTCAAACTCGTTAAATTCCTTGAAGACAGAAGTTAATTGATGTGCTTTTGTAAAAAGCCAGCAAGAAGAGATATTGAGGCATTTGGGGAGTGGGCAAAAGGTTTCAAGTTTCGGCCAGGGGAAAGCCATTAGATTGGAGCCTGTCTCTTTGGATTTTGTATAATGACACCTGGATTGGTAATATTGCGGCGCTTAAGAATTCTTTCTCGGTGCTTAAGAAAGCCTTGCTTGTCAGTGGCCATAGAATCCGCAGTTTAAGAAAAATTACCTCGCTACAACCTGTAGCATGAATGTGGGAAGGGGATTCAGCTGTTTCCATATGCGCACTTGTTGTTGCTGGCTGTATGCAGCCAAATAACTAGGACGCAGCATTAAGACCCAGGATTTTACATTGCAAAGGACAAAAGCCAGTATTAAGAAATTTTCGCCGATGCAAACTTCATTACACTCTTGCAGAATATGTGCATATATATGTACATGCTGTTCAGATATGATCCGGCAAGCCAACTCTGGCAAGCTCGGTGGTCTTTGATT